AATAAGAGTCACAACAGAATGGAATGCCTAATTAATTAATGTCCTTCACCTCAGGCTGCAAAATGTCTTGGGCCAGCCATGCCACTGCCCACTATCCATGTCCCAGCATTTCCTCAAAAGTGGCTCCTCTGTCCTCCAACTGCAACTCAAAAGTGCAACTCAAAAGTGTAACTTATCTTGAGAGAAGAGGAAGCCAGGTTTAAGAACGTAGCACAAAAAGAATGGATTTTCAAAGGTATCCCCCTGCTCTGGCTCATCTTTTCCAACGTATAATTTTTGCTGGTGCTTGAAAAGTAGTATATACAAGCATCAAATAAATGTGTTGGATCAGCTCGGTTCATCTTCACATCGAGCTGGGAAATTGCATTTAAAGCATTTAAGGCTGCAATCCTATATAAACTTTAAAAGGTAAAGGGACCCCTGACCATTAGGTCCAGTCATGACCGACTCTGGGGTTGCGGTGCTCATCTCGCTTTATTGGCTGAGGGAGCCGACGTACAGCTTCTGGGTCATGTGGCCAGCATGATTAAGCCGCTTCTGGCAAACCAGAGCAGCGCATGGAAATGCCGTTTACCCTCCCGCTGGAGCGGTACCTATTTATCTACTTGCAGTTTGACGTGCTTTTGAACTGCTAGGTGGGCAGGAGCAGGGACCGAGCAACGGGAACTCACCCCGTCGCGGGGATTCGAACCACTGACCTTCTGATCGGCAAGTCCTAGGCTCTGTGGTTTAACCCACAGCGCCACCCACACTTTACGTAGGAGTAAGTCTCTTTGAACTAAATGGGAATTGACTAAATAGACATGCCAAGGATTGTCTGTGAGCCAGTCAATAAGTTAAGGAAATGTTTAAAAGAATCAATGGGAATTTGAGCCTGGTCAACTTGGTCAGCCTTGCCCTAAACCCACAACTCTCCATTGCACACTCTGGCTTGCCTGTGCATAGGGGAAAATCTTGGTTCACTGAGTGGCTTTGAGCAGGTCTTAATCTTTTAGTCTAACCTACCTCACAGACTTGTTGTGAGGATAAATTGACACAATGCCCCATGAGTACTCTGAGCTGTTTGGATAAAAGTTTGGTACCTCGAGTTACATACGCTTCAGGTTACATACGCTTCAGGTTACAGACTCCGCTAACCCAGAAATATTACCTCAGGTTAAGAACTTTGCTTCAGGGTGAGAACAGAAATCGTGCTCCAGCGGTGTGGCAGCAGCAGGAGGCCCCATTAACTAAAGTGGTGCTTCAGGTTAAGAACAGTTACAGGTTAAGAATGGACCTCCAGAATGAATTAAGTACTTAACCCGAGGCACCACTGTACAGATGAAGCGTTGATAACTTAAAATGTCACCACTACCTGGTGCTAACAAGTAGTTTAGTTGTGTGATTCCTCCACTGACAATTAATCATGCTTGGCAGTGAAATTCTAGGCAGGTCTACTCAGAAATAAGTGCCACTAATTTCAGTGGGGCTTACTCCTAGAAAAGGGTTCGATTCCAGGAAAGTGAGGAGTTCTACAGCCGAAATCAACAGAGTGCTTTCAGAAACAGCCACTAGAGGGAGATTGGATAAGTACAGTCCAAAACACTGGGTTTGTAAGAAATACATCTCAACGTTTTAAACAAAGTAGCTTCTCTTACGCACTGCATATTGGTGAAATTTAATAAAGCAATGCAACAAAAACAAAACCAGGTAAACGAAGTTTGGCGGCTGACCAATCTATAAAGAGGGCAACTCTTTTTTCAAATCAATCCCACGGTTTTAATTTTTTTTGTTTGCCGAGATCAGAGAATTAAAACTACAAGATCCTGATTTCCCGATACTTCATAAATTGGAAGCCTGCCCAAGAACATTTTAATTGAATTCATTTAATAAAGAAATAGAAGGTTCTAAGGTCACCTTTTCCCAGTATGTATTACTTTAAAAAGCTAAATATAGCATTCAGAAATGCTGAAACGACATACATACATATATATATAGCAGTTTATCAACTTAAACACTGAAAATCAATAGATCTAATTAAAGTAAAAGCTTGCCATGGACGTGATGAGAGCTTTTTGGCATGACAGCACCATCAGTGGCATAAATTTTTACTGCTCTTTCCTTCTCCTTCTGTTTCCATTATATTTATTGCACTTTTGTACTGACTGTTCTGTACAGCCTCTTCTTTGACTATCTAGCTAAAATCCCTGTCAAGCTGTTCTTGTAGTTCCACAGAGGTCAACCTGTGCTCAGAATAGCACTGTCAGAGATCCAGGGTGCCAGAGCCTGTTAGTAAATGGTAGAAATTACGGTAATAAATGGTAGTATTTAGATAAATTTGGGATATGAGGGGGAAATACAAGCTGCAGAACTGAGCCAGGCAATAAATTTCTAGGTTAGCTTGTGTTAGCTATGCTTACATTGTTGAAGCCTTCTGCTATATTTACTGCGATGAAACTGAAAAAAGGAGATACTAGATGACAGACTGAAAATCTTCTACAGAAAATGAAAGTCCCATTTCTTAAGTTGGCAAGGCACCCCAAAGTTCACAACTTTCATTGAGCACATGTGCAAATATTTACATCTCACTATTGCAGTTTGTATCAAACACTCAGGTTAATTTTGATGAAATTGAACAGCAAGCAAAATTTACTTGGGGTATAAAACTGTCAAAAGAAAGCAGAGAGTATGAAAAAACAAAACAATAATAAGACAGGAACTGAGGTCATAGACGAACTTTCTCCAAGAAACAAATTTAGGGTAAATTAATTTACCCCCGTCATGGATATTCTTGCAGCCAACCTAGACAGAAAAGCAACAGCATATAGAAGTGTCGTTGGCAATTTGTCTTTTTGCTGAACCTGCAAGCAACCAAGGAACAGATTCACAATGGCGTCAAGATGTTGATGCAAGAGTTTTCCAAAGGATGTTGAGCTTAGTTTAGTTGATGAACTTTTGCACTTCCACCTGTACGTCAAACAAGCTCACCCCGAAAAAGAAAATTTCAGCCACCAAGATATGTATCAAATAAAATTCCAGGAGAAAATTCAGAGAACTTTTTCAAATGTGGACACAATTTTTGGATTGTCCTTGTGTTTAATGGTTACAAATGGTTTAATGGTTACAAACTGTTCCTGTGTTTAATGGTTACAAACTGTACTGATGAAAGATCATTTCCTAGACTAAAAAGGATAAAGAATGTTCTACGGTCAACAATGTCCCAAGATCAATTGTCTTTATCTAAGCATTCTCAGCACAGAAAATGATTAACTGTGACTTATTGATTTTAATGATATAATTGATAAGTTCACATCCAAAAAGAGTCCAAAAGAAACTGTTCTGACTTTGTATTCAGTCGTACCTTGGAGGTCGACTTCCAAAGCGTTTGTCTTCCAAGGCACGGCTTCTGATTGGCTACAGGAAGCTCCTGCAGCCAATCAGAAGCCATAGAAGCCCCGTCAGATGTTCAGCTTCTGAAAGAACATTCGAAAACCAGAACAGTCACTTCTGGGTTTCGATTGCTCAGGAGCCAAAATGTTCAACTAGGCTGTTCAAAAACCAAGGTAAGACTGTACTGTATAGCAAATGTTATAAGATAGGTATGAATGTTCTCTGTGAATATCTTCATTAATTCCATATTTTTGTAAACTTATTAAAGGTTATAAATTTATAAACAATCTTTTTATCTATGCTAAAAATTCATCAATGTCATACAGTGGTACCTTGGGTTAGACGCTTCAGGTTACAGATTTCGCTAACCCAGAAATAGTACCTCGGGTTAAGAACTTTGCTTCAGGATAAGAACAGAAATTGTGCAGCAGCAGCAGTGGGAGGCCCCATTAGCTAAAGTGGTACCTCAGTTAAGAACAATTTCAGGTTAAGAATGGACCTCCAGAACGAATTAAGTTCTTAACCCGAGGTACCACTGTAATTCCACTGAGAAGATAAAAAATAGAATGAGGCTTTCTTTCTTGTGATCAGGTGCTATTAAGTCTGGGCTCCTCAAAGTCTCCTAGCTCAGGGTTTCCATTTGCTTTAATTCAGACCTGCTCCCAGGGTATGTGGCGTAGGGTGTGCCTTTCCTCAACAATGAGCAAACAAGGATATCAGACATTATCTTTCTCTTATATTCACGCATTTCCATTCTGTTTAAACTAGGGATTAACGTATTATCTTGATGGTTGCATAACCAGGTATTGGATTTCCTCTTGAAGGTTCCAGGTAGAGAGAGGCAGACTGGCATGTAAAGAGGAAAGGTTTTGTGAAGAAGCAAAATCTGTTTCACCCATAGCACTGGCATTTCATTAGCACAAGTCCTATTTAACTCAATGGAGCTTCATGCTTATTATTCTCTCTCCTCTTTACCCCAGTTCCTTCCCTAATACCTTGGATATCTAACTAACTCTCCATTAGTTAACCATTACACTGTGTAAACACTTTATTTGAGCACAACATTTTGGTTATCCAGATTAAGTGTTAGGTAAGCAATATACAAGAGGGTCAATGCAAAATGCTGGAGGTCAATATTCACTGAAAATCTCAACAACTTTCTGAACAGAAGGCTCTTAGAGGAATTCTTATACTGAAATGAGATCCGTTTGCTCAAAATGTTTGTGTGTGTGGAGTTTCTAAGGGTGCTTCCTCACAACAGTTTATTGAAGCTTGGTGACACTCATACATGCAGTAGCCCACAGAAATTGTATTTTCTGCCCAATCATAACCAGTTTAACTCAAGAAGTTTTGCCACCTTCAGTGGGACTTACAGTGCAATCCAGCCAAACATAATAATTTTTAAATGGCATTAATTTCAGAGGAAAAATTCTGCACATGCTTAAATCTCCCTTGCTGAAATCAACCAAACATTAAGGCTGCAGTCTTGATCTCCCTTATTGGTTAGTTCAGACCATTTAACTTATTGAGATGTCTGAATGAATATTGCTTAGGATTTTGCTGCACAGTAATTGACTTTTGCTGCATCATGCTCTAACTGCCTGCTAAGCAGGTTTAGGGTTGCCGTTTTTAGTTAAGAGCACATAAGTTTAAGATCAGTAGTTATATGTTTAAAATGAGAGTGTAAGTTAATTTGAAATTTGCACTATTAGCAATAATTCAATTTGAAATGAAATACTGGCAAGAAATGGAGAGGAGTCTGAAGTCACCATTTGTGTGAAATATTTCCATTTGGGGCATTAACCCATGAAGAGGAAGAGCAAGGTTCAAAAAGCTACAGCACACGACACCTCTGTTGCTATTGGCTCTTTCTGAAACACCTTCTTCTCCACCTCCTTTTTCCACCTCCTTTTATTTCCCCATTTGCAAGAGAAATTTAAGTTCTATCCAAATCCTCACACTACTCCTGTGTCCCTGTTGGGAGGTAAGAGTACTGTACTCTATCCCACACTTGGGCCACCAACAGGCAGTTTCCAAGGACGTGGATTTTTCTTGTAGCTCCAAGGTTCAGAGCAATACCTCGCTTTGAGAAGAAGACTACATCCCCTTTACAGTGCCAAGGCATCCAGCTGAGAGGAAAGTGTACAAGGTATTTAAGAGAAACCCCCAATCCCTCTTCCAATTTGTGTTGTGAGTATCTGGCTGTGGCAGAGATGAGGGGCCATAACGCAGTGTCAGAGCATATGTCTTGTGTGCAGAATGTTTGCTAGGTTCAATATTTGGCATTTCCAGTTAAAGGGATTAAATAGTAAATGATTGGAGAGATGCACTGTCTCATTCTCTGGGGGGAAAGTTGCCAGTCAGATCAGGAAATGCTGGGTTCAAATGGACCAACAGTTTGGCGTAAGGCAGTTTCATATATTGTATTTAGGTTGTTTCTACCTATGAGGGGAATTCATCTTCATCATACTATTTCTGTTGCTCCATCAACACAAGCATTTCTGCTTTCCAGGTGGAACAATCCACCTCTCCTCCCCTTGTGTGTTGTTCTGGAGGTTCTTCCAGCCCCCCCAGAGTGAATAAGAGGCGCTGGGAGGTTAAAGGCCCCATTGCACTAACAGGAGGCATTGGATTGGCTTCGCCTAGAACACTGGTTTAGCTGAATCCAGCCCAATGCCTCTGAGTTCTGTGAAGAAACAAGCAATGTTCTATATCCAATACTATCAGAAATGTCCTGGTCTATTTGATTGGAAAATTAGAAGTGTGGTGCTTTGAGGCCCAGTATATGGCTTGAACTTGGTGTGGTCTTGGGCAATTTTCTTGAGCCTCAGCATTATTCTGCAAAACTGATGTTATACTGCAGTATCAGATGCAGGTGCAAAGGAGTAAATCAGGGGATAAGTCCCGTATGTCTCCACATTAGCCAGCCAATTGACTCAAGCAAAGCACAAAGGCCTGGCCCTGCGCATTGTCCCCAGTGTCTGGTACTCAGCAATATGTTGCCTCAGAGCATGGAGCTCCATTTAATGATCATGGAGGACAGGTGGGCTTTGAGGCACAGAATAGCAAGGAGCAAGCAGGAGGAGCTTTGAAGGAGTGGAGCTACAGACAGGTGTAGCTACAGACAGGCTAAATAAGGATGGATGGATGGATGGATGGATGGATGGTATTGTAGGAGGAGCTTAAGTGAGGAAGTTGATGCAGCCACACTTCTTGGTGGTGTTGGCTGCCACTTCAGCTGGTTCTTGGCCCAGGTCCCAGGTATAAAGTAATATTCTTCTTTAAAGGAAAGCAAAGCAATTGCTGAAGTGTGCCTTCTCCATGCCCTTGGAAAAGATGGAAGAACTGAAGCTGGACTGGGATGTGAAACGATTTGAAGTTGGTGAGGTGGAAGGGATTCCTCTTACAAAGGAGATCTGTGAAAAGTGGCATAAAATCTGGGCTTTCCAAGCCAAGCCTGATGACCTGCTCATAGCAACCTATGCAAAGGCAGGTGAGTATGCAAGCAGGAAAGATAGGGGGTGCTACTGAGGCACCTTTGACTTACCAGGCACATAATGTGACCCAAGACTTGCAGTTGTTTCCACTAGACCTTTGCATCGATTGGATGCAACACACCAGAAAATTATCTTGCTCAAGAAGACCCATAAACATTTTCAAGGAGTTCAGAACCTTCTGGTGGATTGTTCCCATTGTACCATATTTTAAAATCTCTGTTAAGGCATTTGTGACTCATGGATTGGCAAACAGGACCTATTGTTTATAACGAATGTGGATGTTGCCCATGAAATGCCTGCTTTCAGAAGATGGTAGTATGGTTCATAGTGATACGCCTTGTGATTGCTTGTCACTGAAAGCACATAACATTGGACCTTCAAAGGGTTCAGAAGATAACATTTAATGACCCAGACAAATTCAGGCTGAACTTGAAAGAGTTGAGGGTCTGTAAGCCAATGCATAATGCGGAAGCTTTCAAACTTTATAGCCTATACTATTTTTGCAAATGCATGTTTCAAATCCCAACAAAAATCTTCCTCTGCTGCTTTTCCTTCCTCCACCCCATAACCTCTCCCATATAACCTTTTCAACTTTAAAAGGGGGGTGTTGGACTGCTATTATAAATGCAAGTGTGAAATGTGTAGTCTGTCCCTCATGAAGGATATGTGTACATGGACAGTATACACAGGAAAATAGCCAGAACTGGATACCAATGGCCGCTACAAGCAGCAGGCATGTGAGGAAGGTCACACCTTCCTGGTGGTAGATCATAAGGTTCATAAGGCTTTTCTTGCATTATAGGGTGGGGGACATAGCTTTGAAGTTAACATATATTCCTTATGCGTTCTTCACTCTCAGTTGACAAATGTATCTTTGATGCGCCCCAGTTTATATTTATCTAAAAGCAACACTTTTTGTTATTTGCTCAACAAAGGTCCGTATAGTTAAAGCTATGATTTTCCCAGTAGTGATGTATGGAAGTGAGAGCTGGACCATAAAGAAGGCTGATTGCCAAAGAACTGATGCTTTTGAATTATGGTGCTGGAGGAGACTCTTGAGAGTCCCATGGACTGCAAGAAGATCATAGCTATCCATTCTGAAGGAAATCACCCCTGAGTGCTCACTGGAAGGACAGATCCTGAAGCTGCAGCTCCAATACTTTGGCCCCCCCATGAGAAGAGAAGACTCCCTGGAAAAGACCCTGATGTTGGGAAAGATGGAGGGCACAAGGAGAAGGGGACGGCAGAGGACGAGATGGTTGGACAGTGTTCTCGAAAATACTAACATGAATTTGACCAAGCTGCGGGAGGCAGTGGAAGACAGGAGTGCCTGGCATGAACTGGTCCATGGGGTCACGAAGAGTCGGACACGACTAAACGACTAAACAACAACAACAATCAGCATTGAGCTAGCCAAACCATCCGTTGCTTTTAGATGGGAGATGTGTGTAATGTAGACTCTAATATTTTCTGGCTCCAGTCCATGAAAAATTATGAACTTGTAAATCTTTTGCCACAAGACCAAACTCTTCTTTTGTTTCTTATTATCAGGTACAACATGGACACAGGAGATTGTAGACATGATCCAATGTGACGGCGACATTGAGAAATGCCAGCGTGCTTCCACTTACGATCGGCAACCTTTTATCGAATGGGTGCTGCACAAGAATTGGCCCACTGGTAAGCTACATATCTGCAGGTCAACTTGTGTAAAGTTATCAGATAAAATATTGCTAAGAAGTTCAAAATAATATCCATGTTATGAAAGTGTTTCTAAAGAAAATGGAGTGGCAAATATGATCCAGGATTATTTGCTGGAATGTCATATTTCATTCTGAAAGAGGCAAAGTGAGTGTCAGAAAAGGACTATTAGGAAGTCAATGCATATTGTCTTTTCTTGTCACTCGTCTTAACTGCCAAAAGAAGAAAATTGCTCCATCTTCTTCTTCCCAAAGCCATACTGTTGTTTTTTTGCTTTGAAAAAATTATCAAAAAACAAAATCACCTAAAATATATAATGAAATAGAATAAAGATATGAATGAAAAGAGAAAAATAGAAAAGCATTGAACAAATTGTCCTAAGAGGAGGGTCAAATTAGCCATGAAGTCATCAGTGGCTAGGATGACTCTGAATGTTCCAGACAACATTCTGAGACTAGATGAAGATATGAGATCATTTTTTTTCAAAGCCCCTGAAGGCAAAGCCCCAAGGACACTGAAAGGAGATAAACATTTATGTTTTCCACTAGGCTAAGATCTAGCAATGCATTAGCATTGCACGTGGGTCTTGGAAAGTCTGGTCTGCAGCCCTACAAAATGGTATTGGATGGATAATGTTAAAGCATACTGTTCAATAACAACGGCTTGTTTCTCAGGCTTGGATAAAGCTGAAGCCATGCCCTCACCAAGAACACTGAAAACTCATCTTCCTGTACAACTGGTGCCTCCGTCGTTCTAGGAACAAAACTGTAAGGTAATGGGTTGGGTAGGAATCTTAGCAAGCAGGTTAGTGTCATACTAGGATTGGGTTCAGAGATCTCCACACAGTTGTGAAGCTTACTGAGTGACCTTGGGTGGCAGCTACTGTATCTCAGCCTAACTTACCTCCACAGGGTTGTGTGAGGATAAAATGGAGGAAGAACCACAGATGTCTCCTTGACTTCCTTGGAATTGCAGTGTCCAGTTGAATTGCAGCTGAATAGAATACTGGCAGGTTTCTAGAATATTGTATCCCAATCTATGAGTAGGGAGAGCTTTCAGGGATTCCAGTGCATGCCCTGGAGTCGGTTTCCTTTGAATGAAATCACTGGACACTGATGGCGTTTCTGTAAAATCAGAATTTATTTACAGATATATACAGAGACTGAGCATAATTAACACTCCAACATATCCTACTTCTCTATTAGGTTTTCCAGTATGGCTCCCCAATGCCATAGCACTGGATTCGCATAGAGAGCAGGTCAGGTCTCTGTGTCCCTTTCAGTCTCAGTGCTATTATCCTCTTTTCCTTCCTTCCTTCCTTCCTTCCTTCCTTCCTTCCTTCCTTCCTTCCTTTCTTTCTTTCTTTCTTTTTCTTTCTCACATACCCTCCAACATTTCTCCAATGAAAACAGGGATGCCCTATTCAATAACAGCAACAATAACAAGAATAATATTATTTATACCCTGCGCATCTGACTGGGTTGCCCCAGCCATTCTGGGCAGCTTTCAACATACAGTGGTACCTCAGGTTACAAACGCTTCTGGTTACAAACGCTTCAAGTTACAGACTCTGCTAACCCGGAAGTAGTACCTCGTGTTAAGAACTTTACCTCAGGATGAGAACAGAAATTGTGTGGCAGTGGCACAGCGGCAGTGGAAGGCCCCATTAGCTAAAGTGGTACCTCAGATTGAGAACAGACCTCTGGAATGAATTAAGTTCTTAACCAGAGGTACCACTGTATATAAAACATAATTAAGCATTTAAAAAAAAACTTTCCTATACAGGGCTGCCTTCAGATGTCTTCTAAAGGTTGTATAGTTACTTATCTCCTTGGTTCGGGGGCTGCATAACTCCATGCCCTCTGATGAAAATAAGGATGTCCTAAGGAAAAGCGGGACATTCCAGGACCAAATAAAAATTGGGGTGGCTTCTGTAAATCCAGAACTATCCCTGGAAAATAGGGACACTTGGAGGCAATATAGGGGAACATGAGACAGATACCAGTAAAGTGATCTAATTCGTGTTTAAGAACATAAGAAGAGCCATGTTGGATCAAACCAAAGGCCTATCTGGTCTAGCATCCTGTTCTCATCCAGATGCCTATAGAAGCCCAAGAACAGGAAATAATAACAATAGTCCTCTCCTGCTGTTGTCCCCCAGAGACAAGTATTCAGAGACATACAGCCTCTAATATGGGATACCATCCTGACTAGTAGCCATTGATAGCCTAAACCTCCATGAATTTGTCTAGACCCCTTTTAAAGTTGTCAAAGATGGCGGCCATCACTGCACCTGGTGGGAGCAACTGCCATCATTTAACTATGCACGGTTGTGAAGAGGCAGTTTCTTCTGCCTGTCCTCCTGAGTCTTCCAAAATCAAATTTCACTCGACGGTCCTGTGTTCTAGTATTATGAAAGTGCACTTGCACTTTCTCCACTGGCGAATAATGGTCTCTTCTCACTTCTATGCCCACCGCAGGTCATCTACGTGGCAAGAAATGCCAAAGACAATCTAGTGTCTTTTTATCACTTCCACAGAATGAATCAAATGATGCCTGAGCCAGGAACATGGGAGGAATTTTTTCAGAAATACATGGATGGAAAAGGTGAACGGAATGCTTTGTGCCATGATTTCTACATTTCTTTTTTTAAAGAACTCAATCATTTATCTATGTATTTTAAATTCAAGTAGCAAACTGATAATGGGAAGTTAAAAACTTTTTGCCAAACACTGCACGTGGCTCCTTTCTAGTTAGAAGGGGAAAAACAGACTCAAGCTTCGTTCAGACAAGATGCAGCTGCTGTTGCATATAAGACCAGCTTCTGATCTGGGAATAAGAGCGCAATCTGTTTTAGATGGGATTGATTTATGAGCCAAGGGAAGAAGCTGGGATGAGTGGAGCAGAAGGCATCCTGTTTAGGAAGTCTCCTGCCTGTTCCTCATTCCGGAAGGGAATGTGCCCCTTGGTCCATTTTACTACAGTCTTGATGTTGAGGAAATTATCTTTTTTATTTAGGAAAAAGTTGCCAAGCTTGAGCATGTTAAATGTTCTGAGTTTGAGTGTGATTTGACAGTTGTTCCATCATAACAAACTCTGATCATAGCAATTATCCAGCTTAGTCCCCTGAATCGGTGTTGTCTAACCAAGACCTGGGGGAAAATTAACTATTTTTTATTTATTTATTTTAAATTGTCTTTCCTGTCATTGTAGTCATGGAACTGTTTGGCCCCAGTGAATTTTCTTCTGTCGTGAACAAGCTGACATATATTTTGTAAATCCGTAACATGTCCTTGTTTAAGTTTATAGTCTCTTTAGTCTGTGATATGCAATTCTTCCTTAAGCTGTTTAATTCATTTTTATCCCTTAGTGCTCTGGGGTTCCTGGTATGATCATGTAAAAGGCTGGTGGGAGGCGAAAAATAAGTACCGGATTCTTTACCTCTTCTATGAAGATATAAAAGAAGTGAGTGTTTATTTTTAGGCTTCAGACCACAACGAGTTAACACTAGACTACAGGGATTTAAAGCTAAGATTGACTTAGTATAGTAAACATGTGCAGGATTGCATTGTTGGTTAACAATTGGTTTATTTTCCTATTCCTGGTTAATTCTTGGATTTAATTCCCTCCCTTTCCACAGAATCCAAGGTGTGAAATTCAGAAGATCCTGAACTTCCTGGAGAAGGACCTGGAAAAGGAGGTTCTAGATAAAATAATCCATTACACACAATTTGAAGTCATGAAAAATAATCCCATGGCAAACTACACCTTTTTGCCTCCAGAGATCCTGGACCATTCAATCTCCCCATTCATGAGAAAAGGTGCTACTGGAGGCAGGGTCATTGTTTTTTCTACAGGGGTGCCGCTCAGGGAGCAGAAGGCCTGAGTCTTTTGCACTATGGTCCTGATCTCCTGCCCTTTCCCCTCCTTTTGGAAAACCTTTTATGGAACGCTTGGCTGGGTGGCTGGGTGCAATTCAGTGGGACTCCAATCACAGGCCAGCTTTATCTGTTCTCTAGTGGTGTGTTGATCTGTGCTTGCTGGATATTGTGTATACAGGCAGTGGCGTAGCGTGGGGGGTGCAGGGGGGGCCAGCCGCACCGGGCGCAACATCTGGGGTTAGGGCAAATCCACGGGTTAGGGGGCGCAAATCCACAGGTTGGGGGGCGCAAATCCATGGGTTAGGGGGCACAAATTACTTGCCTTGCCCCGGGTGCTGACAACCCACGCTACGCCGCTGTATACAGGCAATCCTCTTTTTGCAGGGGGCTTCTGTTCCAGACATCAGCAGAGCATGTGTAAGCCGGTTCCGCCATGCTCCAACCTGTTCTGCCTCTTTTAATTACATCTTTCTGACATTTGGGGGATACTTTCGGGTTTGGTGCCGTGTGTGTGTTTGTGATCGCCCATCATTTGGACGCTCCTAAATTGAGAGTTTCCTGTGCTGATGGTATTGAATGGGGACAGAAGACTTGTAAGCACATGCAATAGTAGCTAGATGGTGTGGGGAGGCAAGAACTGCACATGAGAGAGAGGAGCTGTATTCGATGTCTGACAAGACTTTAGTTTTAATATGTACATAAGCAGCAGTTCTCTCCAAGCATATGAAGATGTGTGTTTGGGGACTGTGCCCCGAATTTTTTTAAAGGCCTAGTAATACTCCTGTTTTCCAGGATTAAATCATTTTTCCTATATGGCACTGTGGTCTAAACCACTGAGCCTAGGGCTTGCCAATGAGAAGGTCGGCGGTTCGAATCCCCGCGACGGGGTGAGCTCCCATTGCTCGGTCCCTGCTCCTGCCCACCTAGCAGTTCGAAAGCATGTCAAAATGCAAGTGGATAAATAGGTACCGCTCCGGCGGGAAGGTAAACGGCGTTTCTGTGCGCTGCTCTGGTTTTTCGACATAATCCGGAAAAACTGTCTGTGGACAAACACCAGCTCCCTTGGCCAGTAAAGCGAGATGAGTGCTGCAACCCCAGAGTGGTTCGAGACTGGACGTAACTGTCAGGGGACCTTTACCTTTACCTTTAATGGTAGTTTGTTCCCAATAGTTGTGGGGTTTTTTGCTAGTATCTTTCAAATTTGTGACCTTTGAACAGTAGAATTAATTTTTTTAACTGAAACTGAATATTGTCTGTCTTTGGCTTTCTCTGCTCTAGGAACTGTTGGGGACTGGAAGAACCATTTTACTGTGGCACAAAATGAGAAATTCGATGCAGAGTATAAAAAGAACATGGCAGGAACTTCTCTGACTTTCCGCATGGAACTTTAAGCAGGAACAGTGTAAACTCTATTATCGTCTTAGTACGTTACATTATTAAAAACACAACCTTATAGAATACACATTTGCCTGATTAAACTCGGTATAGCTTAATTCTGGGAAGACATGCATAGGATTGCACTGCAAAAGTCTTAATCCATCACACTATCTTGTACAATTCCTTTTATACTTGCTGGTCTTCATTATCTTCTTCAATATAAAGTATATTGTGGCAATCATTTCAACCTAAAATGTGAATTGAAGATGGAGCTATGTGATTGACAAAAGGGACTTCTGCTTGCCTAGTGGCAGTTCCCACCCCACCCTCTCAGTCTCTAACACAGAATTTGGGGAGTAAATTGTGTGTGTGTGTGTAAAGCAGAAGTTTGGAAAGGTTTGTCCTTGGGGTGAAAAGAGGATCCTTTCATCCCTTCATTCTTTTTCATATTCAAAGTGATTTCTTGCGCCAATTCCTAGGGTTCCCAACTGGTTTATTTCAGGGGAGGGCAGGTAGGGGACTGTCCTGGAGGCAGACTGAAAAACAACGCTGGAATGGGATTGAGAATTTCCCAATCCAGCATTTTCTTCTCTTCTGCCTCTGAGGCAGCCCCACCTCACCCGTTTCTCCTTGAAATGATCCATTCATTCTCCACTCCACTTCAATGAAATACAGTGGTACCTCGGGTTACATACGCTTCAGGTTACAGACTCCGCTAACCCAGAAATAATACCCTGGGTTAAGAACTTTGCTTCAGGATGAGAACAGAAATCGCGCGGCGGCGGTGGGAGGCCCCATTAGCTAAAGTGGTGCTTCAGGTTAAGAACAGTTTCAGGTTAAGAACGGACCTCCGGAATGAATTAAGTACGTAACCAGAGGTACCACTGTAAATATATCCTATGTCCCACTCCTGTCTCTCAGCACCCCTGTCTCCCTTGGCCAGTTTTTGCCCTCTCCTCCTCGGACTTGCTCAGGAAGAACAAAAGGTCATACAGGAGTTGCTCCTTGTGGCAGAGATGGCAGGACATGCTCTGTCTGCTCACTTCTGCAGCCCCACATCTCGTGCCAGGTGCACATGAACACTCATAACCCCCTCTCCTCTTGAGCTCCGTCCAGTTCTTTCCCTTTATCTGCACTACCAACACTGAATCCTGGAGATGGAGGTTAAATAGAAGAGGGGAGAACACCCACCACCACCAGTGTCTACACTAAGGTTACCAGATTTTTTTTCAATGAATCTGGGGACACTTTTCAACTTCAATGGATTTTGTATGGGGACTGATTTGTAAATCCGGGGACTGTCCCCGGGAAAATCTTGTAACCTTAGTCTACACAAACATTTGCTGAGACAGGTGTGGGAGAAGGGAGCTTGACAGGCACATTTGCAGGACATTGTGGGAACCAGGACATTTGCAGGCACCATGTCGGCAAAGCCTAGGGGTAGGCAATGCTGAGCTGTTGTTGTTGTTTAGTCGTTTAGCCGTGTCCGCCTCTTCGTGACCCCATGGACCAGAGCACGCCAGGCACTCCTGTCTTCCACTGCCTCCTGCAGTTTGGTCAAACTCATGCTGGTAGCTTCAAGAACAGTGTCCAACCATCTCGTCCTCTGTCGTCCCCTTCTTCTTGTGCCCTCCATATTTCCCAACATCAGGAGGTGGCCAAAGTATTGGAGCCTCAGCTTCACGATCTGTCCTTCCAGTGAGCACTCAGGGCTGATTTCCTTCAGAATGGATAGGTTTGATCTTCTTGCAATCCATGGGCCTCTCAGGAGTCTCCTCCAGCACCATAATTCAAAAGCATCAATTCTTCGGTGATCAGCCTTCTTTATGGTCCAGCTCTCACTTCCATACATCACTACTGGGAAAACCATAGCTTTTACTATACGGACCTTAAAAATGCTGAGCTAGGGTACCCCAAAAGTGTGTTGAGGTGTGAGGCAACATCCTGCATTCGTGGCACAAGGCAGCAGGTTTTATCATCATCAAAAATCAATACACGGAAGAGAAGATATGCTTAGGATGCGAGCAAGCATTAATATTATACAGTAAAGGTAAAGGTAAAGGGACCCCTGACCATTAGGTCCAGTTGTGACCGACTCTGGGGTTGTGGCGCTCATCTCGCTTTACTGGCCGAGGGAGCTGGCGTACAGCTTCCGGGTCATGTGGCCAGCATGACTAAGCCACTTCTGGCGAACCAGAGCAGCGCACGGAAACACTGTTTACCTTCCCACCGGAGTGGTACCTATTTATCTACTTGCACTTTTATGTGCTTTTGAACTGCTAGGAGCAGGGACTCAGAAACAGGAGCACACCCCGTCGCGGGGATTCGAACCACCAACCTGATCAGCAAGTCCTAGGCTCTGTGGTTTAACCCACAGCGCCACCAGCGTCCCTAATAATATATTATACAGTACTGTGGGACAAAGCTCCTTGTAACCCTTAGAGCTGCGCTTTGACCCTTCTGTGGTCCCATATCCCGCCCCCCCCGCCCATTATACGCTTTTTTAATCTACTTAACGTGGGCTTTTTTTGTTTGTTAAGGCGATCATTGCTCCACCTTTTTCCACGGTATGACTGCAACAGCTCATTGTTTATTTTCTACCCGCTTTTACCCAAAGGGCAAGCACGGCCACCGCACACGTGAACGAACTGCGGGGAAGACTCTAGGAGACGAAAGATGTACCACTTCCCCCCGCTTATTTGTTTGTTTTGCAGCACAGGAAAATCTTTACTAAAAACTTAATAAATTAATTAATAAGTGTGTTCGCGGTCTGAGCCATTCCAAGAATCTAAAGGACTTTGAAATAAGCAAATATGAGCAACTGAAGAGGCTGGTGGGAGATTTATTTATTCTTTTAAAAACTGTACAGCCAAGTCTTTCAGGGACGGTGTTGACGCTGCCTTTCCGGCCGCCCTCCTCCTCTCCCCCTGGTATTTCCTCTCCACTGTCATGAAAGAGAAAAAGAACTCGTGGGGGAAGGGGGCGTGGCTTGCGGGCCGGTTGCCAAGGCGACCCAAGAAGAGGCGGGGAGCCGTCATTCTGGTCGAGCCCTTCCTCGTTTCGCTGACGTCAGAAGCGCGCGCGGTGGGAGAGCCGGTGACGAAGGCGGAAGTGCTGCCAGCTGAGGCGCTGAGGGAGCAAACGAGCCTGGCTTTCCCTCCGCCGCAATGGAGGTAAACCGGGGAGAAGGACTCGAGGGGTGGGGGGAAACGGCGGACGTGGGCTCTGGGCTTCCCTCTCCTCAGCCCTCATTCATAGAGGGGCCTCCGCCACTTGTGGGTTCTCCCCGTTTCCCAAGTGGAGGGCTAGCGAGGGGATGAGGCTAACCCGGGGTTTGTGGTGAGGGCTGCCTGGTTTGGCTTCGTCTCCTGCTTTTCCCAGGGGCACGGAATCTCATAGAACCGTAGAATTGGAAGGGACTCCCGAGGGTCATCTAGTCCAACCCTCCTCAGCTAGATCGTGCATGATAGGTGGGCATCTTCCCCAAACCATCCCTGTTCAGACGGGTCTCTTCCCCAACCTCAACACAGGAGTTGCACTAATAATAATAATAATTTATTTATACCCCGCCCATCTGGCTGGGTTTCCCCAGCCACTCTGGACGACTCCCAACAGAATATTAAAAACACAATAAAACACCAAACATTAAAAACTTCCCTAAACAGGGTTGGCTTCAGACGTCTTCTAAAAGTCAGGTACAGTGGACATTCGGGTTGCGAACGTGATCCGTGTGGGAAGCACGTCCACGTCTGCGCCGGTCGTGATTTGGTGCTTATGTGCATGCGCAAAGGGCTATTTAGTGCTTCTGCGCAAGTGCCAAAGTTCGCGCAAGTTCGGCACGCTGCGCAACCCAAAGCATCTGTAACCCGAGATATGACTGTAGTTGTTTATTTCTTTGACATCTAATGGGAGGGTGTTCCACAGGGTTGGCACCACTACTGAGAAGGCCCTGTGACTGGTTCCCTGTAACCTCACTTCTCGCAGTGAGGGAACTGCCAGAAGCTCCTCGGAGCTGGACCTTCAAAAGCTAACAATATTGGTCGGATGCTAGGACCGGAATCCTGGGAATTCCAGGAATAAGTTCTATTGAACTGCATGGGACTTACCTCTAAGCACACCTGAGTAGAATTGCACCTCTTAATCAGGTTTGACCCCCCTCCCCCAAATGTGGTATATGTAAGGCTATGAACTTCGTATTGGCCTTTGCTGCTTCACTTTTAAAGCAGCAGTCTGATATACGCAGAAGTCAAATTGGTCAAGCTGTTACCTGTATGGTACAGCGTCTCAGAGAGTGCAAGTAGAGGAACTTGGTTTAGTGTGTGGTGGTTTTTAAAAATTATTTTGAACCTTAGGTGATTTTAGGTAAGTGTAAAGGCTCTCTTAGCAACAAACACACACACTCCTATAGATCCACAGTATGGAGAAAAGATTACTGAGGAGATGTGTATGAAGCACAGTGAACACCATAAAGCACTGTATGGATGCTGAGTGTAATTCCCATCACTTTACGTCTGTGCTAGGAACATTTATTTGGTAAGCCTCAGTGTGCCAGACTGCTGTTAAAAGACACAGAATGAGGGCTGAAAAGAGATGGCAGCCCTAAACCAGTGTTGGAAAGTGAGATATGAAAGCTAGGAGCTAAATTCAACCTTAAACCTAGGTTATGGGTGCAGCAACGGAATGTCTAGGCGTGCTTTTTTATAACAAGAATATAAAGCTGAAAATGAATGAACTGCAGCTGAAATATTATGTTTATTTTCCACATAGGCTCGTCCTTCCCCTGCCCACCCCCCTAATATTCTTAAGAGAGTCTCTTCTCCAGTCTTCAGAGAGTAGCTGGAAGTGGGGAGGCAGAAAAAGGTCCTTTCCTTCCACTCTGCAGTTTTAGTCTGAACTCTTGGGCTCAGAAACTGCTTGCACCAATTAAATTCCCTGTCGCAAAATGCACATAGAACAATGGGAGTTTCAAACATTGCCCTAAACATCTGCTGGCACTATGAATTCAGCTTTCGAACGCTGGAATGAAACAGGGTGGATAAACTACATCTTCCTTTAGCAAAGGTAGCTTTGTAATTGTAGTGACTAGGCCTTGGAAACATTTTTATTCTTCGCGTTGTCGTGAAGTATTAGAAAATATGAATGCTGTGTTTATATACTGAATGGTTGTTAGTGGTTAGCATAA